AAAACAAAGTGGCTAAAAGAAATCATAAGTTGTACGAATAAATAATCTGTAATTTTAAGTGCCAGATTGATTAAGAGAAACTACTATTAATTAGTTATCACTATCATCCCTATTTTAGTTTTAGACAACTTCCTAATTATACTATTATTCATATTTCAGCTTTAGGCAAAGTAAAAAAAAAAAAAAAAAAACAGCTTTAGGCAACTTCCTAATTATTAATCACCTATATGACTCTTGTATTAGCCTCTATATAAGGGCCATTATTATTATTATTATTATCATCAATAATGTACTTTTTGGAAGAATTAGTTGTGTCTTGACTCTTGACAAGGTCAGACATCAATTTAACTCCTACTTATATGATTTCAATTCTTCAGAAATCATTGCTTTCTTTCCAACCAAATACCTTCCCTTTAAATTCCAGAATCACTCTCACCCCTGGACAAGATTATTGACACAGGTTCTTAACAGAAACTTACGACTTATGACATCTCATGCGCTAGGAAGGAGCTCGAGATCAATCTGTAATGGAACTATCAATTGACTCTCTCTGTTCATCTTCTTTCTCATTTTGCAAACCACATAGGCACAAACTTCAATCGAGCATTTAGAAATCGGGCCTGAAAAATAGAAAATAATAATCCCAATTATTGCCGGTCCGCTGACAATAATCCCAACTATTGATTATTTTTGTATAATCCCAACTATATAGACCGTCCGCCAATAATGGTCCATGACCATATATGACCTCCTATAAAAAGTGAAATTTAAATAGAAATTCAACGTAAAAATTAAAAGTTGAGATTATTTGTATGGATTACTTGTTATATCTCTTCTCATCCACTTTAGAAACTACATGAATTTATTTATAGGGACCATTATTGGCGGAAGGTCCCTAAAGTTGGGATTATTCTGAAATAATCGATAGTTGAGATTATTATGAGCGGACCGCCAATAGTTGGGATTATTGCTATCAATTTTTCCTATGGTTATGTTGTGTTGAAATAAGGGTATTGTAGGAAAAAGTAATGAGTTCAAATCAGTTATTCGAAAAAAGATATGAGGTACTCGTACCACAAAAAAGTACTTCGCATAATGTTTAGCGTAGTTTCCTCAATTTTCGTGACTATTTATAGGGTATGTTTGGCACAACTAACTGAAAAGATACTTTTGTGAGCTTTTTAGTAACTGTTAGTTTTTAGTGACTGAAAAGATCTTATAAGGAGAAGATGGTAGCTGTTTGGTAAAAAGCTGACTGTTTGATTTAGTTCTGTTTGGTATACAAGCTGTTAGGATTAATTAATACTAAAAGTCACGGACTTTTCTCAGATGCTACCCTCTGTAGCATCTCAAAAAAGATCTATTAATTTTTGAAAAGCTCTTAAAAATTGTCATGCCAAACATACAACTAGAAGCTTTTAGAGACTTTTTAAATAGTACAAAAGCTAGAAGGCAGAGACTTATGTCTGCCAAACATGCTCATAGTTGTGGTAGAAAATCAAGGTGTTCGGATTAATCATTAACTGAACTTAAGATAATAAAAGAAAATACCAACTGACCTAGGAGTGATGATGACAATTTTGATATAAACCTCTCATTGACAATTTTTGATAGGATATTTGAAAAAAACAGTAATGTGTTGAGGAGCGGGATTGAGTTTTCACATGGCAACATAATTCAAGCCACCATGGCTATAAATCCTGCAATAACTGGTCATTACTCTGAATTTATAAAGTAGTTTATGTGTAGTATTATAAAAGTTATTTTGAGGTTAGAAAACATTTTTTCCAAAGTTAGATTTGTAAAGATAATCATTTCATTATAAACTAATTTAAATATGGGGATGTGTGAAGTAAAAAAACGGGCTGCATTTAGAGCTACACATTATATAGGCAAATTGGTTAAGGGCTTAAGGCATGATTTTCATGTGTGCAATTGTGCAAGTATAAGATATTTGAGTATGAATTGTGTATCATGAAAGACCTTATAGCACATACAAAGTATCCTTGTAAAATCTTTAGATTAGGATCATTAGAAACAAATTAGGCAAATTTATTGCTAATGTTAAAATTTATTATTTACCGATGGATCCCCGTGTCGTTCTGACCAATGCAGAGTTGGTTCAAACTATTCAACAACTCACCCAACTTACGCAAGCTATTGTGAAGGAAGTACTCCATAACAACCAACTACACAGAATGGAAATGTCATGGACAAGTGTGTAGCGGCACGAAATCTGCCGGAGTATTCGGGGCAAAAGTTTTGGATGCGAACGTTCGAAAAATTGTTTCATGCAATTAACTGCCCGGCGGAACAACGAATTGACATTGTCGTGTACTACCTACACCAAGAGGCCGACAATTGGTAGGTCACGACTGGGTCGGCGTTGTGCCAACTGCCAACAACCCAACTTCTTGAGGGAACAATTCAAAGATGCTTTGAGGTAAATGTTTTACCCGGAGCATGTGAAGGCAATTAGGAGTGAAGAATTTCAACAATTGAAGCAGGGAGATATGACGGCGCACGATTACCATATCAAATTTATTGAGCTGACGAAGTTTGTACCGGCATTGGTATCTGACGAGAACAACAAAGCTAAAAAGTTCATTAATGAACTGAACATTAACATGCTGATATGAAGCGGGAAGAGCATGGGGCGGGACGGGCTTGAGCCCACCTCCATGGGCTGGTTACGGGCTGTTTAATTAATATTTATTATTCCTTTTATTTTGTTTCCTAATTTAATTTGTTTCCTAATAGGATTTATTTAGGACTTCTATTCTTATTAGAATTAGAGGTTTCCAATTTCTATTTAGTTTACTAGAATGATTTAATTAGGAGTTCTATTAGAACTGGAGGTTTCCTATTCCATTTAGTTTCCTAGAATAATTTAATTAGGATTCCTATTCTTATTAGACCTAGAAGGTTATTTATACCCCTTGTATGCTTCATTCTTGATCATCTTGGAATAAAAGTTGGTTTAGCCTTTTGGCTCTGGGCAACGGTATTTATTTATTGTTGATTATCTGGGAAATGGTTCACCCCGTTGATTTTATTTTTTCTGTTCACAACAATTGGTCCGACCTGCCGGATCCCGTCCCGCCATAATGACGAGATCTCAAAGTGATCGATTGCAAGAATTGGAAAGTGAACAAAGTCGCACGGGAGAGGAGGTGGCCCGACTGGGCGCCGAACAGACCCGGACGAACCTGACACTCGACGACCATGGTACGAAACTGAAGGCGATGAACCTGACACTCGGAGATCACGACGCGAAATTGGAGAAAGTCGCGGCTTCTCTGGCCGCGTTAATAAAGGCGTTGATACCGCCTGGGTCACCGGACAGCGGCGCGGTGGGAGCCAACATCGGCGCGCTGACAGTGCCGCATATCGATAGGGGAGGGCGCAATCCAACTCCGACGCCACTACCCACGTTCGATGGGGGGGACCTGATCGGGTGGTTAGCCCGGGTAGAGCAGCAATTCGAGTTACAGGCAAGCCTACCAGAGAGAAAGGTGGCTGCCGCTATGGTAGCCATGGAAGGTGGAGTGCTTTACTGGATTACATGGCTGAGATCACGCAAACCCGGTATAAGCTGGGAAGAATTCAAACAAGCCCTGGTTACCAGATTTGATTCTCGATACCAGGGAAACCGGTTTGAACGACTGTCTGTAGTCAAGCAAGCTAGAACTGTGGAGGATTATAACATTCTTTTTGTCCAGTTGGCAAGTCAAGTCTTGGGTTTGTCCGATGAGCACTATTTGGGATATTACATGAGCGGTCTTAAGGAAACAATCCGAAGCTCGTTGCGATTGCTTCGACCAAACAACCTGGAGATGGCGATGGAATTAGCTCGAGAAGTGGAGTATAATCTGTCCGTCCAAAGTGGAGAAAGTGGCAGCCTGAATTATCATTCGTCAGGGGTACGTTCTAGCAGCCTTTTAAGGGTAAACACAGGTTCCCCGTTGACTGCCATTGGTGGCAGCTTACATGGTTCGGAGGGCAGCTTGGCGAAAGACAGTGGACAGCCCCCAGGGACAAGATCAGGGAAGTCCGGGCAGTCCATGACACGCTCTCAGTTCACTCGTCTTCCGCCAAAAGAGTTTGCAGAATTGCGGGCAAAGGGATTATGCTTTAGGTGTAAGAAACCATTTACGCCAACACATGATTGCCCCTTTAAGCAGCTGCGGGTAATGATAGCTGAGGAGGATGAAGAGTTGGACCTCAAGCAGCATGAATTCTGTGAAATAACCGGCCAGGAAAAGGTTCAGGAAAGAGAAGAAGAATATTTTCCAGTCTATTCTATGTCTGCAAATTTCAGTTCCCGATCCGCGAGTTTTCAACCTTGAGGACAAGGTTAATTTGAAGGAGGATGGATTGATATGAAGCGGGAAGAGCATGGGGCGGGACGGGCTTGAGCCCACATCCGTGGGCTGGTTGCGGGCTGTTTAATTAATATTTATTATTCCTTTTATTTTGTTTCCTAATTTAATTTGTTTCCCAATAGGATTTATTTAGGACTTCTATTCTTATTAGAATTAGAGGTTTCCTATTTCTATTTAGTTTCCTAGAATGATTTAATTAGGAGGTCTATTAGAACTGGAGGTTTCCTATTCCATTTAGTTTCCTAGAATAATTTAATTAGGATTCCTATTCTTATTAGACCTAGAAGGTTATTTATACCCCTCGTATGCTTCATTCTTGATCATCTTGGAATAAAAGTTGGTTTAACCTTTTGGCTCTGGGCAACGGTATTTATTTATAGTTGATTATCTGGGCAACGGTTCACCCAGTTGATTTTATTTTAAGAAATTGATCTAATTAGGACTAAAACATAGTGAATATTCTAACTTGGGACTTAATGTTTTAAATTCCCTAAATAGGACCCCCTATTACCATTTTACCCCTAATATATCAAATCTCTAAATCCGTCTTCCGCGTCGATCAGCTCTCCCGATCTCCTCTGCCTTCTCTTCCAGATCGATCGCCCCAGATGTCTTCCGCATCTCTCCCATGTCCGCATGTCATCTTCGCTTCCACGCTCCACTGCTCAGGTCAAAATATTTCCAGGTAAGTTCTTCTTCTTTCTTCTTTTCCTCATCCTCCTTCTCCCTCTTGTCCTTCTTCGTACTCTTTTATATAAATGGATTAACGATGCTTGTTACAATCGTGATTCTTTATGCTTTCAATGTTGGTCTTACAATTCAAAAATAGAGCTTTGTTGATTTTTAAGATTCAAATAAATTTTTTTATTTGAAAATTTTGGATTTGGAACTTTTGGATATGAACTTCCCATCCTCTTCAAATCTGGGTCCTTTGTTTTCTTCTTCTTTAGATTTCCAGAAAATGACACTTTTTGAATAAGAGAATGCCATATTGAGAATGACATGTTTCTACACGAAATTGTCATTGTTGTGTCATTATTGGTCATTTTTAAAAAATGCCACTTTCATGTCATTACAGTATTTGAAAATGTCATATTGAGAATGTCATGTTTCTATACAAAATTGTCATTATTGTGTCATTATGCATATATTAAGTGACATTCTCGCATATGAAGTGTCATGCCTCATGGAAGTCTACACAGACTCACTGGAGGGCAGATTTTTGTTGGAGAATGATGACAGCGTACTTGCTGAGGCGTGAAGGTGGTGACAAACTTGATGGATGGTGGAAGAGCCGCCATTGGTGGAGGCGCCGATCTTGGAGGCCTGGAAACGCACAGGGCCGTTTGCGCATCAGGGGAATCGCATATGCGCAGCACAGGCCCCTGCGAACTCTTAATATGTTCATTAAGGGTATTTTTGTCCAATTAGCTCTTTTTTAGTCCTATTTTTGTCTAATAAAACATAGTAGTCCTGTTTTTGCAATTCTACCTTCATTTAGTCCTATTTAAGGAATTCTCTCTTTTATTTTTTCTGTTCACAACACATGCATAAAGTTGTTGTGTAGGGGTGCCGAACATTGAACCAGTAAGACTGACTCGAAGATCCTAGGCATGAACGGGACCATTCAAACTTCATGTGGGGATATCATTCAAGGCGGTGCACGTCAAACAAGCCTAGAGTCAAACTGATGACGATTTTGAAGAGGACGATTGACCAAATTCCAGTGGTGAATGAATTTTCTGACGCGTTTCTAGAGGGAATTCCAGAAATGCCTCCAAAAAAAGAGATTGAGTTCGCTATTAACTTAATGTCGTGAAGCACGGCAATTTTCAGGGCACTATACCGAATGGCTCCAAGAAAAATGAAAGAACTCAAGGAGCAAATTGAAGAACTGTTTGAGAAGGGGTAGATTACAGGGCACTGTACTAGACCAATTCGGCTACTGATGATTGAACAAAGCGTAAAGGTCATTCAGGGTCACATAATACAGTACTACAATGGCGTATACTCAAAGGCCATAAAACTCTGTATAACAAAAAGAACTTGACGTTTAATAACTCATCTTTCATTACAGATCATACAAACTAAGCCTCTAATAGCAATCATTTCCTGTGAGACTATTTTTGAAATTATAGAAGCACTTCCTATTAAGGTTTTAATGCGGTTTAAGATGTGTTTCGAAATAGTCCACCAATACTGATAGAGTATTAATTCTAGAGAGAAGTGAGAGCTAGAGAGAGAAAGTGAGTAATTATATTTCTCTACTTGGAACCCCCTATAACTAGCCCCAAGGGGTCTATTTATAGGTAAAAATGTGGGTTTGGGCCCCTAGCCATGGGCTTTAGGAGGCCCATTACAATAATCATGCCTTCTTTGGGCGGAATAGGGCCACTAATGGGCTGTGTACAATACTTAGTAAATAAAGTAGAGAGATGCATTCTGCCAGGGTGAACTGTAGCCGATGCGGCCCTTTGGCCGATGCGGCCCTTTGGCCGATGCGATCCATGAGCCGATGCGGCCCCTCGGGAGTCCAGGCGTGCTTCCTGGGCCGGTTCGGTTTCTGGCCGATGCGGACCCACTGGCCGGAGGGGCCATGTGGATGGTGTTCTGGTCATCGTTGACTTGAGTATGTGGGCCATGGGGTCCAGGCCTATATACTCTATCAGGAGTCCCCCACTCTCTGAGCTGAGGCGAAGCCGAAGCGAAAGGGAGTACTTGTTCCTTTCTGGCTGGCCGTTGTGTGAGCTCGAGGTGCTTGGTGGCCGAAGAGGTCTTGCTTTGATTTTGGATGAAGCGGTTTCCTCATTTGATGTAGACGAAGCGCGCTTGAGGATTCATAACCTTGGTGCGGGCCGATGCGCTCTCATTTGTTGGGGCCGAAGAGGTCCCCATTTACTTCTTGCCGTTGTGGTGACATGGTTTTATGGAGCAAAGATGTTTGATTTTGTCTACGACGACGATGCGAGCCACACGCTTTTGATCTGTCGTGTGGCCGAGGCGCCTTGACTTGTGTTTTCTTGCTTTAGTGAGCCGACGCAGTCCCCCAGTGTACGCAGCCGTGCGCTGTATTTTGTATTAAGCCGATGCGATCCGTAATGTCATAGAGGTGAATCGTAGCTGATTGGTGAGCCGTAGCGCACCCTTTTTGCACTTAGGGCCGTCGCGCTCCTATTTTATGTTGTTTCCTCTTTTGTAGCCGATACAGTCCCCCAGTCCCCCACTCCTTTGGCCGAAGAATTTTCGAGGCACAAGGGAGTCATGATGTTCTCAAGCCGTTACGGTACCCCATGCGTTAGTCGTGAGTCCAACCCTTAGGCGAACCTGTCCAAGGTAACCCTGTGGGAGAACCCTTGGACGAAGGCCGCAATACCGGGGTCATCATCAAACGATGTGCGTGTGAGTGGCCGTAGCGGTACACGTGGTTCTTGGGGTTGCTTTGGGGCCGTAACGTGTTTGCTGATGCGGCCATGTCTTTGGTAACATTGGGCCGTAGCGGGTTTCTCCTTGTTTTTGAGTGAGTAGGCCGGTGCCAACCCTAGTCTCAGGGCTTGTTGGGCCGTAGCGTCGGTCTCAAAGTGGAATGTGAAAAGGCAAGCGCTGATTGGCTTTGGGAGAGGTGCCGTTGAGGTGACCAGTTGGAGTTTGCCACGTGTAGTGACCGTTGGAGGGGTGTCTATAAATACCCCTCAACTCCGAGGCGATATCTCATTTGTGCTTTTGCTGTTTGTCGAATTGCTGCCCAATTTTCTAGAGAGAGAAAGCTCCTGAAGTGTCTTCAAGTGTTCATCCCTCTTCCCCAGATCTTCAAATCTTCAAGGTTAGGTCCTCAACCTGTTCTTTGTTTTTTCCTTATACTTTGCTTCCTGGGGGTTTAGATCTAGTGTTCGTAGGAAAGTCACTGTGATCCGAGAAACGCCCTTAGGATTAGGTTTTAGATGTTATGCCGTTTCCTGATGGCCGTAGCGCTTCCTCCCCCGTTGACTTAACAGCGTCGTTGGACGAAGAGGACTGGCCTTTTGACGAGGTAGATACGTCGCCTTGGATCAACTTGGCTCTTGTGGACGAGCTGGCTGTGGAGATGGAAAATACCGCAGATTACCGCACATCGGTTGACGAGGCGAGGCTGAGTGACGATGCAGGTGCTCAAAACTCCGGTGAGGACGAAGCGACTTCTAGCTCGCCCTTGAGGGGGGATGGGGCCTCTTCTTCGGCCACTATTCCTTGCCCTCCGCCGATCGCGGCCGTTGCGGGTGAAGGTGCCCCGGTTCCTGGTATGAAGAAGCCGTACCGGCGGAAGAAGCGTAGAGGGGTGCTGCAGGGGCATTCGCAGTTGGATCTTACCAATCTTTACATTATTCGTCCGGAGGGGTCCCTCGGCGACTATCATGTCGCGCAGCTGTACGTTGGTCCCTACGGCCGTGTCAGAGCCCCCCTGCCGTCAGATCATGTTCTAAACCCGCCTTTGGGCTACTTTGGTGTATATCCGATGAGTTTTGCCAAGGGTTTGAGGTTCCCTCTTCATCCCTTCATCAAGGAGTATCTCGACATGGTGGAGCTCCCTCCGGCCCTATTGACTCCCAACAGTTTTTCGCTCATCATCGGCTTCTTGATCCGGTGTAAAGAGTTGGAGATTTCGCCGACGACTGCCCTTTTTATGAACCTGTTCCGGATAGGTCGAGGGAGCCATCAAAATTGTGCCGGCTACGCAACCCTGCAGCAGATCAGTGGGAGGAGGTCGTTTACGGATCTCCCTACGTCCATTCATGGCTGGAAGGCTAAGTTCGTATTTGTCACTTTGGGCCGAGGCGGGTTCTTTCCTTCAAATGGGCACAGTGGCATGTTCCAGTTGCATTCTCCCCCGTGGAGTGCTGAAATAAGCAACCAAGTAGAGGCCTTCATCAAAGGGGGGCCGAGGAGCATCAAGACGTATGTTACGGAGTACAGGATGGCTGCCCTCGGCTTCGTGCGGTATTATTGCCCCGGGGATGTGGACGATGACCTCTGGCCGAAGATGGATGGGTCTTATGAGCAGGCCGACGGGCCCCGCCTTGGTGTGCCATCCGAAGCCGAAGGTTGTCCTTCGTTTTCTTAACCCTTTCGTCGAATTTTCCTTTTCCTTTGCTAATGTCTTTGTTTTGTGCAGGTTTCGAGATGGATCGTATATCTTTTATGGCCCGTGCCGCTAGGAAGGCCGATGCGGAGCTCAAGGCCGCCCAGGCCGCTGAGGCAGCGAAGAAGTCTGCTGGCAGCTCTCAAGGAGGTGTTGAAGCTGCTAAAAAACCTGTTGCTAAGAAGGGCAGGAGGGCTGCCGATGAGGGGCAGAAGACCCTGGCCGAAGCGGGGCTGAAGCCGAGCCATGCTTCGAAGAAGACGAAGAGGGCTCCAACGACTGATGAGGCCGGCGCCCCTTCTTCTCAGGCTGTAGCGGATGTTCAGCCGCCGGTGCTCCCTCCCGTGAATGATCTGCCCTCCTCGGCCATGGTGGCCTCGGCTTCTCGTGTGCTTCCCTCTGCGGCTGCTGCTGCCCGTCTGGAGGAGGCTCTGGCCAAGGGGTCGTACGAAGTCACCGTACGATACCCCGTGAAAGGTGGTCTTTTCAATGAGACCGTCGGTGGTGATGACATGCTTGCTCAGGCTATGCCTGAGTATGATCGCCAGTATCTCGGCCGACAAGGCCAGCATGTTCGGCTGTACGACGGAGGGATGGACTATGTCGTCCAGGTAAGATATTTTCCTTAGTGATTTTTTTTTTCTTTGCTTCTGTTTTTCATCCTTTAATTTTGAATTTTTTGCTTCGTCCAGGGTGCCTTTATGCTAAGGGAGCAACACTGGAGGCAGGAAGCTGAGATAGAGCGCCTGAAGAAAGTGGAGGCTAAGGCTGCTTCAGCCGATGAGGCCTTCCAGGATCTCAAGGACAAGGCCAAGGCTGCCGAGGATGAGATGAGGCTCCTTCAGCTCCGGCTTGATGAGGCCGATGCGGCCCGGAAGAAAGCTGATGAGGCCGTTGCCGCTGCCATCAAAAGAGCCGAGGAGTCGGAGCGGCTCAAGGCTGACGCCGAGAAGGCCGCCGAGAAAGCCGTGGCTGATTTCAAGGCCGAGGGATGGAGGGCCGATGATCAGCTCCCCTTCTGCTATGAGGTGGTTGCTGAGAGGCTGAATGACTGGACGACGAAGGATCCCGCCGGCGAAGCTTTTTGGATGAACGAGATGCAAGCTTTCTACGATTGCGGCCAGTATAGGATGCAGAAGCTTATCTATAGGAAGTTGCGTCGTCGCTTCCGGAAGATGAGGCCGAGGGGTCTGAGTCTCCCTCGGCGAATGAATAATCCCGATGAGGATTTGAAGCTTCCCCTACCGGAGAGGCAGCCTCCGATCTTGAGTTCATCCGAAGGGGAAGAGCCGTGGAGTGACAGTGACGACTACTTGCTCGAGGGG